GGAAATAGAGAGGAGCTATCCTCACATAATAGTATATTTTTCATTTGATTATTAATGGGACTTTTATCTGCCCTCATGCATAGTTTGCACAGACTCAATAAAAACAATTGTATGTTGAAATTCAAATTCAGTTGGGAAAGGTACATTGCTGAGTTAGTATGGATAAAAACCTGATAACGTTATATTCTGACTGGGTAAAATTTGTAACATTATGCTATGTCAGTGCATGTTAGAGAATGGGAAATGCATGTGGTGTTTAAAGTTTTACTATTTGGTCTGCTTGAGTAACTATAGATGAAACTTAATAAGTTGCTATCAGTACAAAAATGAGAACTTTCTTTTTAAAAGCAGGTAGTCAGAGTGCTAATTAAAACCTAATTTTGATAGATTCAGTGGCTGAAAGAAATTGAAGGGTTGCAAGTAAATGTGTAGTAGTGGAACATGTTGTAGAATTTTGTAGGGCTGGATATTATATGTCCGGGCCAGACATATTTTTGGTGGAGGAGCATGAAGTGTAGTTTGGGTGACTAATCGACCTCCTGCCCACCCAGAAGCTGTCCCCCATAATGTGGACATGGGCAGGGGCCAAAGTCTGCAGCCTGTAAATAAATAATTTTGTAACCCTGCCAGAAGTATCATAATGACTTGCAGCTATACATATTTAGTCAAACCAAGTGAGTCAATGTTTCAGTTCTTAGATCTGAGATCTAAGTAATTCATACAAAAACCTTCTTCAACAGATTCATATGAAGTGACTATATTTGCTGACCACGAGCCTGCCTAACATCCCAGTGGTGCACAGTAACAAGCTGTAGTGCTGCTAGAACACCTGGAGCTGCCAGCTAATCTGACAGCTCCAAAAAGTGGGACTCCCTCCCACTGAGGGACGGAAGTCCCACTTTCCATTAATACTCGTGAAAACATTTACAGAATTATATTAGAACTACCCTATGCAGAGCTTCCCAAAGTCGTGGTTGAAACTGCATGTGGCGTCATGAGCTGATTTTTTTGCAGGTGAAAGTTCTGAAGCAACAATGGCTGTCATGGAACTGTGCATTCCCCGTTTCCCCACTATCATGGGGGTCTTCTCCCTGATCTCATCACTAGTTAAAGTGGTCTATATAAGTTGCATTTTAGTTACATGGAATTATGTGGGTTTTTAAACTGCTGATTTAGAAACCTTATTCTGCAAGTGTCTCTGTTTGTAACTAAAACGTAACACAAATTCTTTTTGACTACTTGGGTTCTAGTATTTTCAGAATTTTATTGGTGTTTTATTAATTGTGTATTATCCATGTTGTGTGTAAACTACATGTTCAGTTCCCTCTCTTAAAACTGGGAATTTCTTATTCAGTTGTTGTTCTCAAACAAAAGCCAAAGGTTTTAAGCAGTATTTGTTAGTTTTTAAAAAAGCTTTATTTCAAAAAAATCTTCTAATGCAAAGTGAGGATTTAAATCCAAGGACTCCTTTTCTCTGTTCGTTACCAGAGCTATTTCTGAGTGAACATTTTCTTTGGGAAAAGGTAAATTATTTTCTTCATCTTTTAGAGCAACTGAATCTAAAAATAAATAAACATTTGGAATCTTCTATTAGCAGAGTCTTACCACTCACAAACCCAAGTCATAGGAAAAAGGAACAAGCTAAAAATAGGTCATTCAGTCCTTCAAGCATACTTTACTATTCAGCTTATTCATTGGTATATTAACTTAATTTAGCTACCGAAGCTCTATCCTTTGATACCCATAGCTAACAAAAATCTATTGATCTCAGTCTTGAAAGCTCCAGTTGTCCCACACCACCACTTTTTGAAACAAAGCAGTCCAATCCTCTGATAAAATCTGGGTTAAAGGCAACTGCTGTTATGTTCATAGTAACTGATCATGACTTGATTGGGAAGGCCTAAAAGAAAGGTAATAGGATATTGAAATTAGGAAGGAAGTGGTAAATTGGGAGTCAAGTGGGCAGAAACAGCATGGGAGTTAGAAGGGGGCAAATTGGGAATTGAGTTATATTAACGGCAGAGTGCTATTGGAAGTAATCCAGCCTATAATAAACATTAGCATAAGGCACTCTTAAAGAATTGTGACCTATGTAACTGTAAGTAGTATATGCCCTTTGTTAGTCATGCTGTACAAATCCAAGCTGTTGGGACTGTTCATGGAGCATTCTTGTTTCCTCTCGCATAGTGAGAGATTCTTAACTGACAACTGCAGATACAAATGAGTTATGTAGGTATCTCCACTATGAAAAATTTCTGAGAAGCAAGTATCAGCCAGCAATTATTGACATAGGTTAGTTTAATATTGTTTCAGAATAGTTTGTACAGTTTTATCCTTAAGAAACAATTAACACTTTTGACGTTATTTTCATTTTTACTTCTCCTTAATATTTAGGATCCCAGAACTAAAAACATTCTTTTCAAAAATGCTCTTTGTAATTTGCAAGTGCCACAGACATGCACTGCTCTGAGGTGTATGGTACTCTAGAACTGAAAATGTTCATCATTTATCAAACTTAGAACTATAATAAATTTTACCTATGAAATGTTCATTTCTTTTTTATTCTAAGCTAAAATTTAATACAGTTAAAAATCAAATGAAGTGAGATAATGCTGTATACAGTAATTAACCCTTTCACTGGAATTTAAAAATATAAATATGTTTTCTCTTGGGAGCTAAAAAAAAAGCAATGAACACCTGAGTGAAATGCTTTTCCACTTTTTAATGCCCTTTCTGCCAGCTTCTTGATTTGATGAACTTGAAATTAATCAGACAGCAGTAATTTCAATCAAGATGTGGGTCATCAGGTTATTGCAACAAACTTTAAAGAACGTTAGTAAGTTATTTAAAAGATTAACCAGTGGAATTTGTATTAAGTGCTAAGCTTGTGACTGAATTTTGTAAAGATATTGTCTGATATTAAGATCCACCATCTCTCATGCGAGTGACTTTTGGTTACTGCTGCTGAGTATGGGTGATGGAAGTTTCTATTTGTTCATAATGAATGATGATGGTAATTGTTACTGATTATGATGAACTTGCACAAAATACTGTTCAGCCTCAACTGGAGTACCATGTCCAATTCTGGACACCATATTTTAGGAAAAATGTGAAGAAGGTGCAAAAAGATTCAGAAGAATGGTTGGGAACATCAATTATCTGGAAGATGGGATAATCTGGAGCTTTTCTTCTTTGGGTAAGAGAAGATTGAGGAGATTTGATAGAGATGTTCAAAATTATGAGGGGCCTAGACAGTTGTATAGAGAAAAACCTTTTCCAATGACAGAAGCATCAAGAACCAATAAAACTCTGATTTAAGTTGATCAGATGAAGAAGCAACAGTGACATAAGGAAAAACCTTCTTACACAGCATGTGATTAGGATTTGGAATACACTGCCTGAGAATTTAGTGCATGGAGTATCAATCAAGGCTTTCAACAGAGAATTGAGTAATTACCTGAAGAGAAAGTTGTTGCAGAATGGGGAAATGTTGGGAATGGGACGAGGTCAATTCTTCTCTTGAAGAGAGCTAGCACAGATATGATGTGCCAAATGGCCTAGCCCAGTGCTGTAAATATTCTTTGATTGTTTGTAGGACCAAACAAAGATTTCCTACACACTACAGCTTGAATTTTAAAATGACTCTGGTTCTGCCTCACTGAGGAAAAGACAACAATCAAATTAATAGAAGATGATTTCCAAATTACCTTTGGCTTTTATTAAATTGTGCAGCTCTGGAAAAATAACTTGTATTTCTGGCAGAAAACTCAGAATGTGGGATCTTTGGATCCTGCCTCTTCCGAGTTTGTAAACACTGAGATCGACGTTATGATTTAATCCATCAGTCGGTGCACTGGATTGCTCATTACTCAGACTTGATCTGCTCACACAAATGTTGAACCTGTCCACTGAGAGTTCCAATATGCAAATGTTAGTTAAGAGTAACAGAGATAGTAGGAACTGCCGATGCTGGAGAATCTGAGATAACACGGTGTAGAGCTGGATGAACACAGCAGGCCAAGCAGCATCAGAGGAGCAGGAAAGCTGACGTTTTGGGTCGAGACCCTTCAT